AAGAAACGAAAATATAGTAAATATGATGACAGTTAGTTGGAGTTAGGTTTTACATAAACAAAAATTAATGTGTGTATTATGTGTATTATGTATGAAAGTTTTGTCAACAGAGTGTATGCTTCCAAGTAAATTGAAGCACCCTTTAGAAGCCAATCACAACAGCATAGTTAGCAAACCTCGTGATTTTTTTAGTCAGAAAGTTAAAAAAACTGAAACAAAAAAATACATTCCTAAAAACTGCATCAATACCAAACAACACTTTACTAGCATCTTACAAGGTGGCTTACAGAATCGTGAAAAGGTAAGAAGCCTCATACCATCGCAGAACTTATTCTACCAGTTGCTGTAGACATGGTGAACATCATGGTTGATTAATCTGCTAAGAAGCTGCCTTTTAAAGTGCCTTTGTCCAATAACATAATTAGTCGGCGAATACAAGATATGGCGGAGGATATCAACGATCAATTAATTGAAAAAATTAAAGGGGTCCAATTTGGATTGCTGATGGATGAGGTTACGGATAATAATAAGGATGCTCCTTTGATATGCTATGTACGGTTTATAGATTGTAAAGAAGACCTTCTGTTTTGAAAAAAATATCACTGCAGGAGAGAAGGCTCAGGACCTGTTGAAGATTCTTGATAAATTCATATCTGAAAATAATTTGAAAGTGCCTAAATGCTTTGGTGTCTGTACTAATGGAGCTCGCTCCATTTCTGGTGGCTATAAAAGATTATAGGAGCTTATTCGAAGCAAATAACCAGATGCACTGTGGACCCATTGCATTATTCATAGAAAAGCGCTTGCGTCAAAGCATCTGAGTCCTGCTCTGAATCAGGTGTTAGACTGTGTGGTGAATGTGCCGAACACTTGTTTTGTTGTATTATAGCAGTGTATGATGGCTTTCTCGTGGTAATGTTTTATCACGTACCTATGAATTGCGGCAAGAAATTTTTAGTTTCCTTAAAGAACGATACAAAGATGCTCAATGTTTTGCTGATGCTGATTTTTTAATAACAGGCATATTTATGCGACATTTTTGAAAAGCTGAATTCCCTTAATCGCAGTCTACAGGGAAATAAAACATGTAACTTTTGAAATCAACGGAAAAAATATATCAGCTTTTATAAAAAAACTCAAACTATGGAGAAGAAAATTGAATGAAATACAAACAAAGATTATTTTTCAATATTACAGCAATTTTTAACGTCAAATAAACATGATCTTTTTAGAG